AATGTTTAAATTCTATAAATTTAATTTTCCTGTCATTTGTCTGATAATACCTACTTAGACACTTAAGTAACTCTTCTAAATATGACAAACTTATAAATATTGTGGATTATAAGTTATTTTAACCACTTCCTTATTATTTATATATTCAACCAAATTCTCCTCTGCCTTTTAACTTAAAATTAGAAGTCTAAAATCAAATACTCAACTATACATTTTTAATTAGAATTATAAGCTCAGTTTATTAGGTTCTCTAATATGCCAACTTCTCTTAAATATTTCAAGTACTTTAAATACCACATATTCAGTTCACGAACAACATAAAAATATTAGGATGATGGGTTCAGCATCTCTATACTTAATTCTAAGTTTTCTCAGGAATAAAAGACCCTTGTCCACCAAAGATACTATATGGTTTCAAAAAATTTGGCAAAAACTTATCAGTGAACTAAGGTTCATTAACCAAAGATTTGGGCAAAGATATAAGATTTGGAGCTGTGGAAATTGAAGGAGATTTTCTCATGACTCCGAAGGAAAAGTTGAACCTTCTTTCCTAGTCTCAATGTTATTGGGGACCCCAAGTGTAGGCCCTCCAAACAGGGGCACCTCATATCTTACCCCGCTAGATTCATGTCACAAATTACCTAGTTCTTAAGGTTTCTCACCCGTAGATCAAATTCTTTGTTGTTGTTGTTGTTGCTTGAGTATATTCTGAGTTATCTTTCTGGTCTGGGCCATAAAAAAATGCTTATTAATATTTAAATAATAGGTGACTGGATACTGCATCTTTCTCATTCTCTTTGACTCTGTACCCCAGCACCAAAATTAAGCTAAGGACAGTCACCTATCACAATTCTGAAATATAGGACTATCACCTGGGAGGGAAGAAGGAAGAGCTTCCTTTTTCTTGGGTAAAGGCAGATGTGCTCCACCTCTCTGACCTGGGGCCTTCTCCTGGTGTCCCCAGTGCCCTCCTCTGGCCAAAAGAACTCTCCCTACCTCCTGGGGGATTTTAGCAGGCCAAATCTTTTCCCCAGAGACATGACTCTTCTCTTTCCTGTTACACCTTCTACCCCCTCAGGACCCTTGATCTCTGCAGGTAGGGAGGAGGGTAGGCCTTGACATTCATCCAGTGAGTGAGTGAGTGATGGCTCAGACTTCTAGAAGTGTTAAGATTCAATAAGGAATTGACTAACCTGAATGGCTCTCTGATAGAGATTTGAGTCACTGCTCAAGTTGAGTATAAATATAAAAAAAATTCCAGATCCTGACTTGGGAAAGAAGGGACTGCATCTGCTAGTCCGTTCCCATAGTGTCTATCTGGTTAGGCTCTTATGATTTTTTCACAATTTTTTCTACTTCTCCACTGCTTTTTTAAATTGGATATATTTGGCATGTAACATTGTATAAATTTAAGGTGTACAATGTGTTAATTTGATACATTTATAGTGATACGATGGCTGTTGTATTGACACTTAGCATCTCTATCACATTATAAAATGATCCTTTTTAGTGGTTGGGATGATTAAGTTTTAGACTCTTAGCAAGTTGGATGATTGTAGTACAATATTGTTTTCTATGTTCACTATACTGTGCATTAGATCTCTATGATTTACTACTCATTGTAAGTTTGTACCCTTAAACAACATCAATCTTTTCCCCGACTCTCCATTCCCTGGTAACTAATATTTTACTCTTTTTATGAGTTTGACCTTTTAGAGTCCACATGTAAGTGATATCATACAAATTTGTCTTTCTTTGACTTATTTCACGTGACATAATGTGCTCAGGGTCTATCCATGTTATCACAAATGGCAGAATATCCTTGTTTCTCATAGCTAAGTAGTATTCCATTGTACATATATACCACATCTTTTTTATCTGTTCATATGTTCATGGTAATTTAGGTTGTTTCCATATTTTTGCTATTGGGGATAATGCTGAAATAAAATGGGAATGCATATATGTCTTCAAAATCCTGTTTTCATTTCCTTTGGATATATACCCAGAAGTAGAATTGCCGGGTCATATGATAGACCTATTTTTAATATTTTGAGGAACCTCAATATTATTTTCCATAGTCGTTAGACCAATTTACATTCTCACTAACAGTGTATAAGGCTTCCCTTTTCACCAAATCCTTGCCAGCAGCTGTTGTCTCTTTTTGATGATGGCCATTCTTACAGGTGTGAGGTAATATTTCATTGTGGTTTTGATTTGCATTTCCCTGATGATTAGTGATGTTGAGCATCTTTCCATGTGCCTGTTGGCCATTTTGATGTCCTCTTTGGAAAAAATGTCTATTCTTATTTTTAAATCAAATTGTTTTTTTCGTTATTAAGTTCTTTATATATTTTGGATATTAACCCCTTGCAGAACTATTCTCCCATTCAGTAGGTTGTCTTTTCATTTTTGTCGATTGTTTCTTTTGCTATGAAGAAGCTTTTGAGCTCGATGTTGTCTTATGTATTGATTGGTGCTTTTGTTGTTTGTGCTTTTGCATCATATCCAAAAAATCATTGCCTAGACCAATGTTGAGGGGCTTCTTTCCTACATTTTCTTCTGAGTCCTTCTCCACTTTTTAAAATTTTCTGATAGTTTCAAGCTTTCTATATCAGCTTCCAAGATTTTGAGGAGGGAAAACTAGTAATAAGACAAGATAGTGTAACCCAGCTGTGTGTTGGTAAATGTTTGACAGTCAGCTCTCTGGAGCCCTGATTTGCAGTGCTTGCCAATTTCTGTGGGTGGAAGTACTCCCACCACGGCCAATTTCAAACTATCAACATTTTAACAATTGGCTCACAAAATTCCTAAAAATTTAATGGTTAGTTCTCATGAGCTGGCTTTAGCACACTACTGGCGCTACTTGTTCTATTTGCTCCCTGATTGTATATAACAACTTCTCAACAATGTAGTAAGCTCCCTAAGGGATGGAATTTTGTTCTAGATCTCTTGTGGGCCCATGGTACTAGCACAGTGATAGTCACAACACATTGATTAAAGAAACTTTCCTGTGGATAGATTGCTTTCTTGGAGCAACTGCACAGCTAATGGGGACTGGGAAGTGGGGGGCTGCCTCCTCTTTTTACCAGGCTCAAGGAAGCAGTTTAGGGGGAAATACAGGAGCCATAGCATGGTTTTGGTGAGGAAACCAGGTTCACTGAAAGATCAAGACACTCTAAGAATTCAGCTCAGATTCCTATCCAGATTTGATCAGCCAACATACTTTCTTTCCTCTTAGAGATTAGTCTATTTTCATGTATATAATCTGGTATGTACTTCAGTAATTAGAATAAAATCTGAGGATCTGTAGTCTTCCTCACAGACTGCCTAGTAAAGTACTAAGGGCTCTAGAGAAAGGACATTAAAATAGCTATAAAGTTATAACCTAACTGTACCATAGAGTAGGTGGAGGACCAAGTGGGCCAGAGAGCTCCTGGAGGCCCTAAGGGCTCAGAAAATAACCTTTCAGTGAGATATAAAAAAATGAGAAAAAGGAGAAGATTGAGAGATGGTACTCACTAACCAAATGAATTTATTTCTCCTTCTGGGGTTTACTGGAATTGGGAAAGATTTGTAGGTATAGAACCACAGTTTGAAAAAGGCCTACGACAGCAATGCAGCCCAGAAATTTTTAGAAGGCAGCTACCATAGCAGATCTCCCTGGGAGACTAGATTTTGTCACAGTGAGAACAATTGTTGGATAGGCCTGAGGCCCACTCATTGAAGACCTTGATGTAGGAGCTCAAATGTCCTGAATTATGAGGCAAATATGAGGCAAACGAGATCTCTAGGCTTTATGTGTGGGAGGTAGGGGTGTCCTGAAATCCTCCATGTCTCATATTGGCCATGCATATGCCATTGTGTTTTCTGACTGTTGAAATTACGATAAAACTGTGATGAGAATGTTTACCCTTTATTTATAATTAAAGATATTTCCAGGAATTCTGGAATAGGAGAGCATATTACTACCCAGAAATATTTTTTGAAACAACATTCTTAGGAAATTTATAAAAATTTGCCTGGATCTTTGCCTTACAATGGAACGGAAGAAAGCTTAGTGCACAAATTAGACAAGTTTCTGTCCTGTACGTACACCAATGCTACTGATATCACCATAGTTTCAGCATGTGTTGCGAGCAGCTTTTTAAGTCATAAATGGGCTTATATGATCCACCTACACTATTGTCCTTGTTACTTAAGAGGCATTCATCCATACCTTCCTCCAGCCGGCAATCATCTACTAGATAGCTACTACATGCCAGGTGCAGTCAGCCCGGTGTATCCATGAGTTCTACATCCGCAGATGCAAATAACTACAGATTAAAAATATTTGGGAAAAAGTTACATCGTTGCTGACATATACTATGTAGTTAGGCCCATGATGATTGGGGCTGTACTGAACACGTACCAACATTTTTTCTTGTCATTATTCTCTAAATACAGTATAATAACTATATAGCATTTACATTGCATTAAGTATTATAAGCAATCTAGAGATGATTTAAAGTATTGGGGGAGAATGTATGTAGATTAAAAACAAATACTATGCCATTTCGTATAAGAGACTTGAGCATCCTTGGATTGTGGTATCTGCAGGGGGGTCCTAGAACCAATTCCCTGTGGATACTAAGGGATGACTGTGCTATGTTACGCATTGGAAATACTGAATGTAGACCTGGTTCCTTATTCTCAGTAAGCTTACATCCCCCTAGGGGGAGCCAAATATATAAGTAAGCATAATAACTGTTGAAGGTGCTAGACAGAAGTCTTGGTGAAGGTGTGGGGGGCTGTGGAGAGGGTTTTGGAAAGAATTAGGCAGATATGCCCCAGGATTGGTCATAGGGAAGGTGCCCCTGAGTATGTGTTTGAAAGTCTTTATCCAGAATAAGGAGGCTGCTGAGGTGAGTATGGAACTGTTAGGTTTTTGTGCGAAGCTAACTAGAGTGACCAGAGATGAGACCTTCAGCCTGGGCCTTGCTCATGCTCAATCTCGCTGACAGACTTGAGCTGAGGAAAAAAATATCCCCCTGCAAGTTCATCGTGGATACCTCCGAGGACAACACACACACTATCAAAGCCTGAGCCACACGTGAGTGCTGAGTAACACGATTTTTAGAAATGATCTCTTCTTTATTGCCATAGTCATATAAAAAGTTTGATATATTTGGGCGGGCAAAAGAAAGCCACAGTGTATATAGAGTTGTAGGAAGTTAAAAATATATGGCTTTAGTGTTTGGAAAAGCAGTTACTAATTGCTTCTTGGGTTTAATTATCCAGGCGATCGAAATTCTGGGTTTGAAACTCTTGAAAATCCTCTGGGATGGTGTCTGTGAACAAGAACAGGCATGGAGGGTTAGGTTGGTGAGGCTCCTTACATCCTGGAATCCTGGGCTACCTTGCCCCGTGCAGGCATCCTGCAGGGGTCACTGTCAGCTTGCCTAAAAGGCCCTGCAGCCATTTTCAACTTCAGGCAGCTCTGCAAATTGTTGGCTTGAAGCCCAGGAGTGCGCTCTCACAGGCCTGAAGAAAATCAGCGGGCAGAGTAAATTTTGAGTCTGTGATTATGGTTGAGCCATATGAAAATAAAGCCTGCTTGAAAAGTAAACCTGACTGAATTTCTCAGTGAACCCCAAATCCTAAGCCAAGCGGTTAAATTCTGTGGGTCTTAATTTCCTTATCTATCAAACAGAAAAAATGCGATCTACCTTTTTATTTCAGTTACACAGGGACTATCAGGTTTTCATGAATATGTGACATAAGCTTTGGGCTTCTGGGAAGAAAGTATGCTATAAAAATAAGGCGGCATCATTTGATTCCAGTAATAATAATGTAACAAGAATGTATCGTTACCATTGCAGCGATACTTGAGGTTGGACCAAATGATGTTTTCTTGGGAGAAGCAGAACACACCAAGCCGGCCTCCACGCATGGTGGTGTCTATGGTGACTCCGGAGTCGGCCACCAACTCAGAGCCTTCATAAAATCGTACTCTGCAGACAACACAGCCAGAGCAGGTATCCGTGAAACTCAAACCAAGGTAAGATGAACTTTCCATTGTGAGACCCAGGGGCCTCACTTCTCATATACCTGTGCCTGTGCTGTTTCATATTCTATTTTCCACAAACCTGAATAGTGCTCTAGCTGTTCCCTCTTCCCTACCAGACTGAAAGCTCTGCTGTTGTGTCCAAATCCTCCCATCTGCTGTCTCTCAGCCACATGTCTCACACAGGTCACCATTCAAGTGCACCAGTCCCCCTGTACCTCTAGCCCCAGCATGGCCCTAATATCCAGGTGGTCAGTCTGAGCCCGGGTGTCTTCTTTCCCCTTTTCTGTGAGTTTAACCTGAGGTCTTGGAAGTCCTGGCATGCCCCCGAGGACTCTCCTGGGTGAGGCCTGCTCAGAGCTCTGTGATGCAGAATGAGGGTGCAAGGCGAGGAGATGGGCCATCCACCTACCTGATGTAGCCCACCTGGGGCCTGTGCTGCAGGAACCAGCGATAGGACACCTTGTCTTTCCAGCCCACATTCCTGGAGTCCTTCCACAGCAGCCTGACCTGGTCGCTGGTGTCCCCAGTGTGCCACAGGGAGTTTCGGAGATGCTCTCCTGGACCTGTCTTAGACTTAACAGCCTGAACAATGACATGAGCGAGGTTTTAGAACAGAATGCACAGATCACCTTCTTAGATCTTTGGGGTAGTGAAAGCATGGTTACAATCAGGCTGCCTCGGATTTGGGCAAAAGCATAAACATTTCTACTGAGGCGATCCCAACCCTTTAATAATTGGCACTGGCCAATATTCTACTCCAT